TTTAGGAATCCAAAGTACAACATATAATAAGTACCCTGTATCAAGATTGATGCAAAACAAGTATCATGTGACCTTTTTAGAGAGATTTAGCAACAAGAAAACACTGCTGGGGTCATTTGGGTGCATGATTTTCCATATCTCTGGCCCCCTTTGGTCGATTTTGATGATTGACATCTCTTTCTACCCGTCAGAGCCAAAGGAATCGAGGGAAAGTTCCACATACACACACAGGTTACCAAATAAGGAGTGATCGTGACGCGTAGAAAAACCGGAAGCTGCGCTAGCCTCTGGTGGCTACCATTAGCAGCTAATTTTTCTTCTCCGAATTTTGAATAAAAATTGAATTATGGACTATCAATATTTTTTTCAAAGTGACAGACACATTGCTATGACCTATGGATTAACCTTCATCTGCGTTTTTTCTCTTTTAGTGCCATTGAACATGACTTTTGATCAGAATAACAGCTAAGGTGAGCATATCTCCGTATTTTGCTACCTAAAGCTACTTGTGTGTTGTATTTGCTTCCCCTGTCACGAGTTCTGATCGCTCAGTGATGATCCTTATATTTCTATAATCTGTGGAATCTCAGGATGTCATCTAAGCTTGTTTTTGCAGATCCAATAAGTATATCGATCGGTATAGCTATAGAGTTCTGTGCTAACAGCCTTAATATTTGTTTGTCCGTGGCTAATTCAGAGGCTCAGCGTTAGCTTCGAGGTTTTAAAAAAAAAAAGAAAAGTTAGCTGAGTTTCTTCCCATTACATAGATATGAAACATTCATAGTTTATTAAATCTTAAGAAGCCCTCGGACACTTTAGCTTGCAGATGTTGTGATTTTGACCCATTCGGCGAGTCCGTGGGGTTTAAGAGGTTTAATATACCTGGTTGGCTTCCGATGTCCTCATAAAAAGTAATTTCGTGGCCATGCTTCACTGGACACGTGTATTGAAGCTATTAAAGAAATGTAATTTCAGTTTTTAAGGTCTATGAAAAATGGTTTGTAGTGTAGTACAAGCAATGTTATTTGTGCTAATTGTCTCCATGCCTGTCTATATTTATTTTTAACATAATATAGCGTGTTGGAGCACTAGCCAATAGAAGTGCGTGTGTTACATTATGATTTCATTATGTTACGGAAGTAAACAAAGGAGTAAAATTTAGGTTTTTCAGGCAGGGAAACACACAAAAACCCCAAAAAAGCATAATAAGGCCCCTTTAAAAAAACTGATTCCTTTGGTCTTATTGGCTTTTGTTTAATGTTTGTTTGAAAAACTGTGAGAGATGTGTAACCATAGACAAGATAACTCTTAACAAAACAAATGTTCATTGATTTCTACTATTGGGGAATCATTTGCCCTGCATGTCCTCCTTGCCCTCTGACGCAGAGGCCCAGCCTTGAGCAGCCTAGCATTTTGTTGTTGTTACCAGTTTATGACCGGGCAATTCTCGGTTAGCGATAGTTATTGTAATGGGACACCTGGAACACATCCTTCTCAGGGTGTAGATGACCTTGAGCCATAAGCGACAACAAATTTGATTCAGTGTCCTCAGCTGTTTAGTCCATCTATTGAAGAATGTTGATTATTATTACACTCTGAACTAGTTAAAACCTGGAGCTACAGGAGGGTTCTTCAGAATTGATTGTGGCATCTCAACTGTGTGTTCAACTCGTGGCCCGTGACATGTCTTGTGAATTCTCCGGCCGAAGCTCCAAATAAGCCGTTAGTGTTTGCCATCAAAGCTCCAGCTCTCCTTGTGTCTCTCTGAGTCGTGACTCCAATTGCTTCAGAAGTTTCCCCCACATCTACTAGTAAAAACAAAGGGAGGGAAACCATGTTGCTTCCAAGCAAGCAGGCAACAGTATGACTCACCAAAGCAGGAGCGTTGACCACGGAGAGGTTGTAGCCATAAATGAAAGATGACCCAAGGGCCCCGAAGAAGGCTGCGCTGAACAGACACGCTGTGACTGGCTGCTGGAGAGAGAGCACACAAAACACACTGAGAATACAAACATGGACATGTAAGAGGCCATGTCAGAAACATTGTTTTTGATAAATGTCAAGTTCGGAACAAAAACAAGGGAATCCAGCAGAGGACGCTTCGAAAAGGCCTTGGTATCCAGTCCAGAATAAACTGGGATATTCCCTTGAGAATGTCACTGCTTTAACAACATGTGTGCAAGGATTGACATTGGCTGAGCAAAGAAAGACCACTTAATGAAAATGCAGCGGTTATACGAGCCCTGTAATTGAGTGAGAAATGAACTGCACATGCTGCATCAAAAATGAATGAGAGTGAACAAGTCATAGGCCTAATATTAGATTTAAATTAAGCTGTGGTTGTGCAGGTATAACAAATTAATCATAGCAAGACTGAAAAAGTGTTAAGGCCCACAAGTGGTTAATTAAAACCTATTGTACAAGAGCAAGACAGAGCAAAAACCATAAGGGAAATGTTGCTACTCCAGGAACCTCATTACTTTTTGAGCTAAACCCATAAAGGCTCACGCAAACGAGAAAAGGACACAATGTCATGAAATTCAAGACATACCCTTTGAGAGGATGAACATGTAATGGAACTGTGACAATTAGATCATGAGAGCCCATGAGCATGTTGACATTTAGGCCCGAAGATAGTGTGGAGAATTAATGTAATAGGGTCATACTGTATGTTGGGAATATTGGATGAGTTGTGATTTTCATGGTCATTTTTCCATTCAATATAAATGTGTCCTATACAGTTTGAAAGCTTTGCCTAATATTACAAACTTCATGTTAACAGCTGACCAGAAAAAATGGGAATTGTCCTCTGGGGAGTATGATCTCCAAATTATAGGTCAATTCGGTCAATGTACTTTTGCACTTTGCTGATGAACATGGACAGTATAGAGTCCGTTTTCATGACCCATTGTTTTGTCGAAACAGCCTTGAGTTTGCATTTAGCCAGAGCCATCTTGGTTTTTTTGGAACCATAAGTGACACAAAAGGTTGGCACTAAGTAAAACTTAACGCTGAAAGAAATGTTTTAGGTGACTAAATGTTGTAACTTTCATAAAGTCAACTTTAATGTCAATCTTTCAGTTTGTGTGTACAGAGAGAGAGATCGAAATGACGTTTCCAACAATCCCGAATATAAAATTATACAATATACAGATATGTATAAAATATGTATATCATTATATAAACAATCAACAGACACATTTACACATTATGCACACATTAAGATAAAAAACACAACAATCAATATATACAAAATAACAGTAACAGTCACTTCAATATCAATATCTTTGGTGCAAGATTGTCCATAGAATGTGCATTTATTGCAGATTGTCCATAGCAGCGTAAAAAAAAGTTTCTGGTGCTGGATTTGAGTTTCTGAGTGTGTGTGGAGAGTTATAGTCCAGTGGGGGCAGGGGAGAGAGGGGGGAGAGAGGGGAGGGATGGGACTCATGATGGCAAAACTTAAAAAAGAGATTACTATGTTGTATTGAAGAAGACTTGAAACTGAGGAAAGAAGCCAAAAAACTAATTGGGAAAAGGTTTCTAAGTTAAGAATTAAAGTGAATAATGTAGGGTCATTCTCTCATAGACTTCTATACAATCAGATGTATTTTTGCCATCAGTAGAGTCGCCCTCTGCTGGATGTTAAAGAAAACTAAGGGTGTTAATTCTCTTTTCACAGATTACTAATGTTTCAGTTTTATCGACAGCCTTCTACCACTCCTTGCCTTTTTATGGGGATGGCAATGTCAGCCCATCACTTCTAAAGGTTGCAAGGTTAAGGATTAGAGCACACAGTGATGCGCACAATATGTTATCTGCTTTAATGTTGTGTAGCAAAGTCAAAGAAAGTACAGTTCATTGAAAGTGTCTCCCTGTCCACTTATTCAAATGTATGATCGGATGATATTGCCATCAGCATTAAGTTATTAAATATAATGTTGTAAATTACTAAATTAGGCATTAAAGGCTATGTGAGCATGCCAGTTTAGCTAGTGGCCGTTACTCCATGTAGATTTAAAAAAAATGTGATTTTATCTGTTAAATTAATAGTCAAGGTAAAAGGAAACACCTGAGTAAAAATAGCAGGTAGTGGCTCCAAGGCCAAACAGAGGTGTACAGCCTCTGACTATTTTAGCAGGGGGTCTGTAGTACTAATTATAACAGTGAAAAAACTTGGAAGACACATTCAAAGTTAGTACCTTGAGAGTAGTGCTCCATAGAAGGTGTGTTAAATAAATGTTTTCTCTGCACATATGGTATATCTTCATCCCTTTACACAATGCAATAACTCACTTCTAATATTATGCTTGCAATATGCACTCATGTGTCTCAGCAGAGTTCTTCCCCAGTATAGTCCTCCTTTCCTATTTGCATATACCATCAAAGGAGGCATATTCAACAGAATCTCTCCACACACGTTTTGAATAATAATTGATTCCAGAAAAAGTTGTATTGAAGCGTGATCTTACAGAAAAAGGAGGTTGGAGCAAGTCTATGGCATTTTTAGGCTATTCAAAATGCATCAATTTGAAAGGTGTATGAAGTGATGAAATAAATGCTTTTGCTTTGTAGGACTGAGCCCATTATATATATATACATGTAAGAGATGCTGGCTCAGTATTTGCCAGTATTTTAAATCTGTACTCACAGATTGATATGAAACAAAAATTGGTAGACTGAACCCTTTCATCTGTTCATAATCGAGCGGTCTCTAAATTACACACTATACAATTAATTGTAATCATATATGCACAAAAGATTTGCCACAATACACCCACATATTGCCCTCAAAGTATTGTAACTCAAAGCCAGCCATACACAAACGGGTCATATTTAGATAATCTTATCCGGGCCTCATAACTTTTTCAGGGTTTGCTCAAAGGACGCTAGAGAATAAATATACATTTCAAAAGAAGATCACAGAGAATAGCCTTTAGGTGTCTGATTAGGTTTAGAGTGGTAGTTTAGATATCTAGTAGCTTTAGGGAGTTTCACAACCAGAAACTGATATGTGAAGACAGATCATGTTTATACCTTTGATTGAGTCCGAAGTTATGTCAAACCAGAATATTTCGATCAGGAGAGAGCCAAGAGACTTATTTTGGCTTAAAAAACATGAATTGACGTGTGCACGAGATAAAAGACATTGAAAATCTTTAAAGATTTCACTCCATGTTGATATTGGGGATCTTAAGGTGGAAGTGCAGCTGTCTAAACGCCGGCAGTGAGGTTGATGGGTGAAGAGAAGCTAAACATCTGGATTTGATGAGATGGCGTAACTATGATTGGATCAGGACATTTGTTATCTTTGAGGTGAGGTTTATTGCTGGTTATAGGAGACTGTTGATGAAACTGACATTGCCCTGGCAGCGTGATCAAAGTTATAGCTCTAATGTTTATGAAGCCAGCGGTAGAGAGGAAAGGAGATCAAGTGAGTGGTGTACAGTTCATATTTCTTTCAGAAAAGTTATCTGTAACACATAAATAGAATCTAATAAACATGTTTCTTTAAAGTGATTTTCCTCTACGATGTTTCTGTGTGAAAATATTTGTAATAAATCGTATTAACACAATGTGGACACATGCAGGGAATTCTGAATAAATAATGTTTTATGATCACAAGAATATAGGTAAAAATTTAATTAAAGTTAATGATCAAAGACTTTTGTTTGTCTTGGTTTCACTTTGTAGTATTATAACTTTCCCGAACTGAGTCCCTACTTTTCTATTTCATTTGTATTACTTAACATCAGTCAATCGTTTTTATAAACCTGGCAAATGTTACATCTTCAGTTTTTCTTTCTTAAAACATGAATAAGATATCGTCATTTTAGCAGAGTAAATATTGCCTCTATTTCAGCGGCAGGTAAAAAGCTCAAATAGGATTTTGGATAACGGCACAGACGTCTGTGTTTGACCATAACAAAGATCATGTAGTCAGCTGTGGCTTGCTCACAATGTCTAATAACATGTTAATAGGTTAAAGTATGACATAACAGCCAAATAACAAAAGCATGACAAACAGCCATGACAAACCCATTCAGCCAGTGAACTTATACAAAAGGTGTTGTTGTTTGGTGGCTCATTGTATGATTATATGTTGTATTATATGATTGAGTTATCCTAGTGAGTCACTCACCTGTTCAGAGTTCTTCCCAGAGTCCTTCATCTTCTGGTCTGCTGCCGGCTGATCCTTCTGTGGTTCGTCCATCCTAACGTTTCAGCAACCTAAAGGGAGCATGATCATTAGCTCATACAAGACATGTTTCACAACGAAGAGGGGGAAGTAGAACTTATTAGGGAAATCTCTGAGTGAACCATCTGTTGAGAGGAAAAGACTATATTTGCTGACACACACATATGCATGCACAGAATTGTCACAGCTTGGTGATACATTTAGGAATAACCCAGAAGATCAATTCAACAGTAAAAACAGCTCTCCAACAGGAATAAATGACCTTCTATTTACCTGCAGGACCTTGGCAGTTGAATACTTAAGCCACAACACAGTGGATAATTCCACTATGGAGCAAATAAATAGCAAATTATAAGCCCGAGTGTGCCACCCTGTGGTTATATCAATATTAACAATCAGACATACTGGAAAGTCGACATAAAAATGCAGAAGTTGTATAAAATCTAAAGGTCTTCTTTCCTTCTGAGCTTGCAAGAGAAACGTGAATGCTGTAAAGAAGTGTTCACAGTCAAAACTCAGATTTTCAGGTATAAAAGCCCTTCTTGTTTTTACCAAGACAGCACTGCTACCTTTGAAGAAGGGTTTAACTAAAGCAGTGACTGAGGTCAAATGTGAACTAACCCCAATGACACACATTTCCTCTTTCTCACTCCTTTTTCTTCAGCATGCCCTGACAGTTACTGAGAAGTCTGATAGGGTTAAGTGCAAGACGATCCAGTCTGTCTCCAAAGAGAAAACCTAATCTATCTGCCGTGTCACATTGAGAAAGAAATTACAAAAACTCAGCGAAAGAGGATCGAAACAGCTGTTATCACAGCAGTGGAAAAAGTCTCCAATGAGCAGCAAGGACGAGTCTTCTTGAATAGTTACTTTACTGGAGGAGAGGACTTGTACTTTGTACTTACTCTTTGTGGAGCACTGAGCATCAGATGGGTAAAGAAGGATAGTTAATTGGTTATTAGCACATTGACACATTATTACAGTATGTGTCATTTTTTATGTGCATTTGTCAACTGCTGCATTTTTCAGTGTCCACTCTGCTGCTTTTAATGTGACGGGTAAGAAAGGAAGAAGTGGATTTGGTATGCAACTCAAAATATTGAGATATTTAAAAAGTACAGTTTTTTTGCTGAATTTTGTGAATATACTTGAGAAAAACATTGCTATTTGTAGAAGACAAGTAATGGCACCATTTTTCAAAATGTCAGAGCTCTAACACAATGCCTCAGTAAGTAAAAGGTGCTGAGACAGAAAGTGTTACAACTATTCCCGCTCTCCCCTAAATGGATACCTTCTGAACAAACAAGCATCAAAGGGTTTTAGACGTTTCTGATTGAAGTCGGTGACCGGTAATACTGCTGATTTCCGCTCCTGCTGCACAGTTAATAACACTTGATGGGATTCGCTCAGCTGCAGAATGTTAATCAGAACCTGAATGGATGACAGGAATGAAGATCAGCAGGACTCGGTGTCCTAAGGAGCTCAATTAAAAGCCTTGGCCTTGGAGTGAATTCATAAGACGTCTGAAGAGCTTCCTGTACAAAAATATCAGTTTGATTCAACCACCTCTTGGATAAAATGGCATTTATTCCAATATCAGTTCAAAATATTTCCAATTTAGCTTTCAGACACATTTTACAGCTTTAATTGCGGTTATGCCAAATCAGTCAGTTTCAGTACATTAGGAACAAATTAGCAAAATAAATCATCGTTCATCTTTCTATTCAAGCTTGATAGCTCATAATGAAATTCGACTCGACTTTGAAATAGTTTGAAAAACTCTGAACTCAAGGTCAACTGACTACAAGTAGAACTTATGCGGTACAACTGAGCCAATCGTGAAATGCATTTGAATTCAGGATATTGTACCAATACCTCACATATTGGTTACAATAAGCTACCTATACTGTAAATATCTAAAAAGACATGCACTTACAGCTTTACAATTTAGTTGTGCATAAAAAGTCAATACTATAGTAGATGAACTGTGTGACTGAATCCCCAATACAAAAACAAACAAGTTCATCCATGTGCGCCATGAGTTCACCGTCTGGCTGATTGTGTAACATGCAGAGGAAATCAGGTTGGTACTTTGAGGGTTTTGACTCTGCAGACCGTTTACATGCATAAAAACCTTCATAACACACAAGGGGACGGGTAATAACTGGAAAAGCATGACATGGGACCTTTAAAGTTATTAAAACTAGCTGCACCTTTACCAGCTTTGATAAACACAAATCTCACAACCAGTTAAATGCTAGACACTCATTTATTTTTTAAAGGTCACATATCCCACATGATTAAGTAAATAACATATATCTAAAGAAAGATTCAGCCCACTTAAATTATAATACCGACAGATCATGACCCTAATGACAAAATAAATCAATGCGTTTCCACCTTTTTCACCAGGCTGAATGGTAAGTACTTTGGGTAAACTCACCCACGCAGGCTGTGTATCCAATGCTCAGGACGACTATTGACCCAACAGTATACATAGATATGACTATCATATGTCTCTGACAAATGATTAACTTTGATGAGTCACCCCATTTGCTTTCCGGTCTTGGTAAAATAATACTTGGGTCAGCAGAGTTGCGGTAAAAAGAAACATTAGCTATGTTTCTGTACTATTTGATAGCACTACTCTACTTTAAAAACATGGTGTTGCTTTGTCAAGAGGCAGCTGAATGTCCTCCGACCAGCTGTAATTACAGAGGGTGAAAAGTATGAGAAAGATAAAGGCCTTTTTGAACATTAAAGCTTATAAACATGTCACACTAGAGGTAAAACATGCAAATATGGAAATAGCATAATAGGGCCCCTTTAAAGCAGATCATGCAAGAATTAGTATTTTATTGTATAAAATTGATATTGTGTGGTTAACACAGTAAAAGCCCCTGGCATAAGCATGAAACCCCCGTTAAATTTGCAAGCTGACAGTTTATTCAAACTAGACAATCGCATCATCCGCAGTGTTGATAAAAGGAGAGAAATTACCTTTCTCTTTTTTTATTCTACTATGAATGGCAATTAGGTGATAAATATGCCACTGCAGAGTGGAAGATACAGACAATAATGGACTGTCTGTTTATCAGAGAAGTTCCTTTCAAATCACAATAGTCTCAGTCAAGACTAAAACTTCTAATTAATGACTTCAATATTATCTGTCAAACTGAAGACCAGATTTCAGAAATGCTTGATATCCTGAGTTGTCTGAGAGCCCGGTTTAATTATTCTATTAGATGACCTACCTTGAACTGCAGTTAACATGAGTATAGTGTCATACTGCTAAAGCTGTTGGCAATATGTCTTTAGTTGAGAATGTCTTTATTCATAAACCTGTTGCATACAGTAGCTTTGAGCTCTGACATCAGTGGTTATGAATGCAGTAGAGAGCATTATTTTATTTTGAATCATGGTGCATACAAAGTTACCTCCCTTTTATGGACTCACCCAACTCATGTCAATGTCATTAAACTTCATCTTCGAAAACAAAACCTTATGTTAGAATTCTGTCTATTGATTTCAATTCTGTCTATTGATTTCAATTCTGTCTATTGATTTCAATTCTGTCTATTGATTTCAATTCTGTCTATTGATTTCAATTCTGTCTATTGATTTCAGTTCTGCTTTTACTGTAATCAAAAGGTGATCTCCAAAGACATTAACAGACGCCTACAGGCTGGAGGTGAAGAAAGGTGGTCAGTGCAGGGGGAATTCAATGGAAAAACAAGACTACTGAAATGATCATCGACGGGAGAAGAAAGCAATCTCTAAAAGCACCTCTCCACATTGAACCAACCATTTACAACATATGACTCCTTTGGTTAGAAGGTCCTTGGTAGATAAATCAACAATAACCTTAAACTAGAGAATGCAATTCCTGAAGAAATTGCTAGTGGGAATGCTTTATGCTGAAAAGCTGACGCTGAATTGCTATGCTGAAATGTAATGTGTAAGAAGAAAGTGAAGAATTTAGATTGAAATGATACATGAACACTGAATGTGTGATAAGAGAAGAAAAGAAAGTAAAAAAGCTTGGAAAAGCAGCAGAATATTTGAACTGCAAACTATTGAACTAACTTGATGGCGAATGATCTGTCGCCATAGCAACGGTATTTGATGACACCCCATAATATGCTTAGATATGTTGATGGCTGCATCGTTACCAAACCTGTGAAGTTTTGGGCTGTTTGGAGCATTTTCACTGAAGTTATGAGAAAACCGTGTTTCATGGCGAGCATTGTGTTGCCATGGCAACGGCATTTGAAGAAATCTCAAAACTGTCCGGCAGATGTCTTCACGGCTGGACTGTTAGCACACGTGTGAAGTTTTAGCACTTTTGGACAATTTTCAAAGGAGTTATAGCAATATTGTGTTTTATTGCAAGGGATGCATTGCCATGGCAACAGCTTTTGAGGAAAACTCACTAATTAGACCCTCCAGAAAAACACGGGCAAAAATCCTTGATTATGCGGTTAAACATGCAGTGTTTTTATGTGATTTTATTGGGCTGTCTTATTTATTCTTTCTCACACACAACCTGCCACTAACGTTAAACCCCTTTCCTATTCAATTAAACACATTCAATGTTTATTTATTGTATTCCGCGATCGCAGAATCGCGTTTTTCTGGAGGGTCTAAATAAAAGTAGGCCATGAAAGAAAGAAATCAATGAAAGGTTGATGCGAATCGTGCGCTTAAGACCTTCCTTTTTGATAAAGCTTATAGTTAGGGCTGATTAGATTCAGCCCCTAGTTTTGCTGATATAGGCTTAGTTTGTCGGGGGACATCTTACTTCTTCCTTCTCTCTGTCTATACCTGTGTACTCTCATGTTCCGATTAACCCAGCTTCCCCAAATTTCTTTCTTTTTGGTGTCTATATACGCCGGGATCCGGAGTCATGGATGATCCTGCGGTCCTGTGTCATGGATCGCGAGTCCTGGATCTTGAGTCGTGCGTGGCTGTGGTCCTGGATCATAAGTCCTGGATGGATATCCTCGTGGATTCATCTTCCTATTATACACACATGCATTTCCAAACATTTGGACTACCTATGTGTTGCAAATGTATTATCTTTTCAATTTAGACACGGCATCTATTGCACGTCTGTCCGTCCTGGGAGAGGGCTCCCTCCTCTGTTGCTCTCCCTGAGGTTTCTCCCATGTTCCCTTTAAACTGTGGGGTTTTCTCTGGAAGTTTTTCCTTGTACGATGTGAGGGTCTAAGGACAGAGGGTGTCGTATTGTTATACTGATATTCTGTACAAACTGTGAAGTCCACTGAGACAAATGTAACATTTGTGATATTGGGCTATATAAATAAACATTGATTGATTGATTGATTGATTGATTGACACACCAGAATCCCTTGGCTAACTAACAGGGAGTCAATGAACGCTGGTAATAGACGAGTTGGGATCGTAGAGAAATGCTCTCCGCAGACCCATTCTCACAGCGTTATAAATCTTTTTCTTACTCAATATCAAGCCACACTTATTGTTTTTACTTCGGCTGTGAGTGTTTGTGTGTGCTCAGGATGAGTTTAGCTTGTTCTCGCTGTATCGCCAACCCGGAAAATCTGTCCGCTCCTCGCAGCAACGAGCCTCGCAACGTCCCGACCAATCAGAGCACACTGGGCTCACAGGGACGAGGGGCAGGAGCTCCAACAAGCCGTTTAGGACAGAGAGTAAATACCTGGGGAATACACATACTATACAGAGATGCTGTATGAGAAACCAATGTGATTTTGGAAAATTGCACAATTTAAATCTATTCTAGTAGACCTCAACAATGGAAATATGATCAGTAGAAATGGCCATGACATGGGCCCTTTAACAAACTTCACTTTTGCTGTTCCACGCAGACACATGACAATGGTTTGTTGTGCTGCCAGCAGTGTTAAGAAACCTCTAGTGTTATTTCTGCATGTGCCGTTAGCCCCAGTAAACAAAGAGATTCCAAAGAAACCCAGACTAAAATCTCAATGATTTATTAAACGATTTCCGAAAACAACTTCTTCTCTGTGCAAGTAAACATGAGCAGTGGTGTAAAGTAACTAAGTACATGTAATCAAGTACTGCACTTAAGTACACTTTGTACTTTACTTGATTTCAATTTTATTTTACTTTGTACTTCTACTCCACAACAATTCAGAGGTAAAATAGTGTACTTTTACTCCATTACATTAATACCTTTAATTACATTGCAGATTATGATTCATAATGTGAATTATAAACAACTGGATTAAATTCACAAGCTACCCAGCACTTAATCAATTAAACATAAATTCCACCTTTACCAGCTTTGATAAACACATCAATAAATATGTTCCAAATATACAATATATGTTATTCTGAAATTGGCCAATCTGCATAATGAGTACTTTTACTTTTGGTACTTTAAGTATATTTTGATGCTAATATGTTTTTACTTTTACTTGAGTAACATTTTGATTGCAAGACTTTTACTAGTTAGAGAGTATTCCTACACTCTGGTACTTCTACTTTTACTCAAGTACAAGATCTGAGTACTTCTTTCACCTCTGACCATGAGTCACACATGGGGACAATAGCTCACTACTTTCACTATCAATAATTAATACGAAAGTAACTCTTGTACTTACTTTGAATAGTGTTTGGATACATCCTGGCACTGAGTCGACGTTGAAGTTGCAACGCTTTGAATCCTAATGTACAGATACCATATTGGAAGAAGATCTCCTACTATGAGAGGAACAATGGAGGGTGTCCATCCAGAGTACCCACGCTCCATTGTCCTGCATCATTCCTTGAAGCACCCCTAAACCCCCCCCCCCACACCCCACCTAACTCAACGCAAAGTCCAGAGAAACGTCCTCAGATCACAGAGTATCTAGATCGAGTCAACTACAGAAAAAAGCTCTGCTCTACCAGCTGAATTCCTGATAAATGCAGCGACAAGGGCATTCTCACAGAGGAAGAAAGAGTTCCTGCCGCTGGTGGAGCTTTAGCACACAGGCTACAACTCGTTGGATAAAAACAACACAAAAGCTTGGTCTTTAATCCAAGAAAAATAAAAAAAACCTCTCCTCAGGCAGCTTTTACTCAGATCAATGGATGCTTTATTCTCCCTTGGCTTCACATTGATTATTTTGTAGGAAGCTATCTTTATTACAAACATGTGAGTGAGCCACAACTCTGCCTTGTGGAAACCACATGAAAGACTACTTCAAGTACAATTAAAAGAGTCAAAAACATGACGTATTTGGTGTTTGGGCTAGACTGGAGGATAGAGCAAGTGCATAAAGTTTAGGAACTGCCATGGGAAAAAAGAGATGGCCCAAGTAATGAAACTCAGGCTTGTAAATCGGACACCCCCTGCGTGACCTGCCCTGGAGTCTAGGTAACAGAAGGTTTCCCAGGTTGTGGATAGACCTGTCAGTGGGAACAGAACCCCTGGGCAGAGGGTATCAAATAAGGGTCTTGTATTTATATTTAAATTTCAGCCATACATTTTGAACAAGTTTATGGAACATATAATGACGTGTGCTGTTGTATTTCATCATAGATACTGTGTCCTTTGTCTCTTTTCAGCAGTGTAAAGCTAAGTACTGTCTATAACTGTACTATCTACAGTTTATTTACCTGAACTGACTATGTACATATACTGTAGAAGTCCTGCCCTTGAATCATGTGTCCTAAGTCAGAAGGTTATTACAGTCACTATTGATTCAAAATACCAAAGTTCTTTCCATATCTCATGCCCTATACATTTGTTATCTCAGATAACCGTTTTCCCCCTGTGGAGCATGGTCCTTAAAACTGATGTCAGCTGCTGCGTTAAACATTGACCTTCCAGCTGTGAGTGTCACCGATAGAAAACTATGTTTTTGTGAATCAGTTATTGTGAATCAAACATGTGGAAATATCATTAATACCCAAATATGAAATTGATAGAAAAAACATTGATTCTGTAAGAAAAAGAAAACAAGAGAAAGAAAACTCACCGAACACTCGAGACTATGGTTGTCCAAGATCAAGCTTTTCTTGCGGATTTCACATCCAAAGTAACTGCAGGAACCTAATTCAAAAAAGCACCATTATCACATGAGAACTAACTGGCTAACTTCATTTACTCTCACTGAACATCAACCAGAAGCCGTTTGAGGCACAGTGCAGAGTGCTTATAAGAGTCAGTCAATCATTTGCTCCAAGCATTTTGCCTTCTGGCCAAGTTAATGAATACGTTTTGAAAAATCATCAAATAATTACCCAAGTCAACAATGTAATGCATCACAGTTTTGTTCACTCTCTGTATATTAAACAAATTCAAACATTGACTTAAACCCATATAAATGCACTTTTATAACCTGACAATTATTGTGACTAGACATCTGAAATGCTGTCATTCTTTCTTGAGTTGACTCAACAATGCATTGCATTGTGGTCTGGCTGAAACAGGGTTCATTTTTCTTAGTTCCTTAAAAGCTAACATTAGTGACACATTATTCGTTATAGCGTTGTTTTATAGTGTTGTGTATAGTCAGGCCTAGGGAGTAGGATTACCTGTAATGGGAATATAATCAAGATGTATTTTGTTACAGTTACACCAAAAATAAGACTCAATCAGATAACTGATTCTATAAAATGGCAATAGCCTGATTACAAGGCATTGAGCTTACACACTCAAGCAAAACAATTGCTGGTCTTTCAGTTCATCAACATTTAGCCCTCTAGTCTAAAGAAAGCTTTCATTGGGTGGAAATTGGAATTGGTAAGTGGACCGTCTAAATTTTGTTTTTTGTTTTTCATTTAGGCTAAATTTCTTTCTTTTTTTAATAGACCTTTTTTTAATACAGGTGGAACCCCGATGTGTTTATCAAAAATACTACCTTTGCCTACAAACACAACACAAATCCTAAATTCTACACTGACAACACATTAAACATGTGTGTGTTTTGCTCACCTGTTGATCTTCCCTTACAGGCTGCTCCAACAGACCCAGCGTATTCCAATCTGTCACAAAGGATAAAGTTATTCAGGGTAATTGATACATTCTCCACTGCTTCTTCTCATGAAGGCACAGTAGTGTTAGGTAGGTAAGCTGTGCAGAAAGACTAGTCAGATAGTTTGGCCCACTAACCTGTGGTGGTGGAGGGGGAAGAATGCCCCTTGTTAATCTTTATTAAAAAAAATGTTGTGGTAGCGAACTGTGCGCATAAACATTGGGAAGGAAATGTGACCCCCTTGACTATTTTTTCATGTTGCTATTTCCCAGGTATTTGCACACCGCCCTCTTCTTCTGTGGAGTGACGCGGATTGAAAAAAAACTGGACTTGAGAACACACTCTTTTTGGCCTCTTCCACGTCACAGAGAAAAAATAAAATCTGTGACCTAAGAAGGAACGGATCACCGTCAGTTGTGTCGGCAGCTTGCATGTTTTGAATAAACAAATATTGATCATTTACATTCCCGGGTGCTAGAATCTTCCTGACCAGATAAGGGTGTGTCAAATCAAGTCAAGTATTTTTAATGCCCAATTTAATTTGTACAGCGGGACCGACAACCCAAAACAATGCATACAATGAAAGAAACCTAATGGAAAATGAATGATCCCTCACCCAGGCTTAAAATACATGACATGTTTTTAGAATATATGTGTACCTTCAAATGTTCAGAGTTTAACTCATGTCATTTTTGTTATTTCTATTCATACTATCACTACATGTTTATTCTTTTTTTGTATTATTTCATTTGGATTCTTATTATCCCATGTGTACTATCTCTGTCTTATTCTGTTGCTGCTATAACACCTGCATTTCCCTACGGGGATCAATAAAGGTCCATCTTGTCTTAGTAATAAGTAAAACTGTTTATAAATATAAAGAAAATGGACCCAGGAGGATGTCAAGACACACACACACACACACACACACACACACACACACACACACACACACACACACTCTACTGGAAGGGAAAGACACAAGGAGATATGTGTACACAATGGTGAGCAAGATAAGGTAGTACCACTTTACAACCCTCATAAAGGGTTTATAATTAGGTTATGAATTAGTCTGTAAACACTTTATTAATCATTAAGAACCATTTACAAACCAGTTCTAACAGTTTTCATACATCAACACAGGCTCACTATTTGGCAAGATGACTAAGCCTTATATTGAGTACTTAGCGAGAATCAACTCAGTGAGCAACATCATACCAAGGATGCTGGCTGATGAAGTGGACAAACTAAGTTAATTAAGCCCCAAAGACCCCCTCGGCGGGTCCTTTTTTTTTTTTTTTTACGACACTGTGTCTCAGGGGATCTTAATATTTAAGAACCTATTAATGTGCTATACAAGATTAACGGGAATAATCTCAGCTAACTGACGATACAAACCATTTTTACCAAAACAAAACACAAGTCTCATAAGAAGCATCTAAATGACCCCTGAGCGAAAAATGCTAACGCAATTTGGCACAGAACTCAAGATAAAATACCCTTATTACTTATCGTAGCTGCACATACAATATATCCGATTAAAGCTGAGGTTCCACAGATTATTTAGGTATGTATATCATCACTACGTGATCCGAACTCGCGACAGGGGAAGCAAACTCAGACATCACAACACGTACCTTTACGTAGTTTTTACGGGAGATCCTCTCACCCTAGCTGTCAATCTGATCAAAAGACTTGTTCAATGGCATTAAAACGAGAAAAAACGCGGCTGAATCGGTTAATCCATAGGTTGATAATGTTTCTGGTTATTAATTTTTTTAATTTATAATCCATAATTCAATTTTTATGTAAAGATCGGAGGGTAAAAGTTAGCTGCTAATGGTATGCCACCAGAGTTATAGCAGCTTCCGGTCTTGGCTATGCGACAGTCTCACACCATGTCTCACACACACACATTACCATGTAAGGAGTATGTGGGAGTTCCCCTCGATTCCATTGACTCTGACTATGGATCTAATTTCCTGCCATAACTCCACAAACAAACTAAACAGGTTTTAAAAAATGCCTCATGATTCACTAACAAACACAATGTGGTTTGCAAATACAAAACAACAT